AGGTAATTTTAATATTTTTTTCTTTAATTTTATTTTTATGTCATGTGTGCTTGAAATATATATATGATTTGTGATTTCAATATGATTCAACGTGTCTAAAAACCTCGAAATCTGCTACAAGTCGAGTTGGATTTCAGTTGATGATTCGACCGTCGTCACATCAAAAGGGGCTCTAAGAGAAGGCTAAACTTTGATAATAGTAATAATAATGATCAAAATTGTCCCCCAAAGAAAATTGTTGATATTGTACCTAGCATTCTGTTTGACGAGTCTTTTTTTTTTTCCAAACATCAAATATTATTAAAGAAAACTCGGCATGTACACGACGAGTAACCAAAGGGTTACGATAATCCAGGGGAACTTGTGAACAATCATCCCTACCACGACCACAAAGGTCACTCCTACCCAAACTAAAAAATTACAACACAAGGTTGTTCAAAATCAACTAACCAAAACAAACTACAAATGCAAAATTACAGTAGCAAAAGATTAGCCATAATCAACAAGCTTCCAATCATCTAATGAGGACAGTAATACAAATATATCATCTGCAATCATAACTATATCAGAGTCCCAGCCATCTTGCAAAGCCATCTTCTTCCTCTGCCCTTGATCAGCAATAAAGATTTCCACCTTTGCCCAGCCTTGTTCCCTGCCTGCTAACAACCATTGCCTTAACCTCAGAAATCAAGTCATGATCGCGATGGAATGATGATATATCCGAGTGGGAGTTTAGTTAATATCCCAACTTTATGTGCAGTATGATTCTTTCGGAGTTTGATTTGTCTCTATTCTTTTTAATTTTTTTTTCCTGGTTTATATATATATTACTTTGTTTTGTGAATTCAGTTTTTCTTATTCTTATTTTCTGGATCAACATGAGAACTTAATTTGAGTTAATGTGATGTGTAGGCAATAGTTTGATTTGGGTGATGTCAAATATGTGGTTATGGTGAGATGTGGAAACTAACTAGTGTTTTCTGTTGTTTATTTTTATTGCAATTCTTAGTGTTTCTTTTATTATTATTATTATTATTATTATTATTATTATTATTATTATTATTATTACTATTATTATTATTGTTTGGTTTCTTTTTATTGTCATATAATAGATGACATCAAATATGAGAACGAACATTGATATGGAAAGCAAAGCTGGGGGGAAAAGATGTGACTCGGGCTAGTTGGTCAAAAGAAACTTTGTATTTATTTTGTGATATGTGCATCGAATATGCGGAAAAAAGTAAAGGAAAACGTGGTGCAACAATCTCACAAAGAATGCCATGGAAGGTGTTAGAGGCTGGGTTTCAAAAAAGAACTAATTTAGCATATGGCAAGAACAAACTTAAAAATAAATGGGATTGGATGAGAAATAGATGGAGTCTCTAGAAAGCACTGAAAGGAAAGGAAACTGGACTAGGATGGGATCATGAAAAAGGAACAATAAGTGCTAGTGACGAGTGGTGGAAAAAAAAAATTGAGGTCAGTTAATTTAAATATTATTTTTAATTTAAAATATCATGAAAATGGTCAAAGCTGATATATTTTAATATTTTTTTGTAGGAAAATGTTAATTTTAAATCTTTTCAAGATGAAGGGATTGAACCTGAACTAGAATACAAGATGGAACAACTATTTGGAGTCTCAGTTGCTCAAGGGGCTCTTAGGTTCACTCCAGTTCAATGTGAAAATGAATCAATTTATATCTCATGTCCTCCCCCAAGTATGGATGTTGGTAATACTCCATATAATGGTATTAATGAAACTAGTGAGAATGATGCAGTTAATCTTAGCAGAACTAATAAGGAGTGGGAAGAAGTTTGGATCGACGGCAGCCCAATTCAATCTCCCACTTCACATTCTCCACATTTTATAGAAAAAATTGTTATGAATAGAGGGAACAAAAGGGCTTTCGAGAACGATGTGGTAGAAAGTTCAAAGAGTCGGAAGAATGAATCCTCTAGAAGGGGAGGTGCTGCAATACTGATGGAGAAACTTGATACTATGGTAAAAGTTATTACTGAGAGAAACGCCAAGGATATGGAGATAATGAATCTTGAAGCAAGTACCCGTGTTGACTCTTCTAATGCACTTGCCAACACTCTTGCAAAGTTAGTGTCCATGACTGACTTGATTCCTGGGAGCCCTGAATTTTGTTTTGCTTGCAGCTTGATCGAAGATCCCCAAAAGAGGATAATTTTTAATGGAATACCAGATGATTACTCAAGACTCCAATGGATAAAATTTTTGTATGCGAAGACGGAGAAGAATGAGTGAATATGTTTATTATTGTCTTGTCAGTATTTTTAGTGGACACCTATTTAATATCTAGCATATTGAATATTCTTGTCTATTCAACTTTGTTGCTACTTGCGTTTGTTAGACTTTAAATACAATGAGAACTATGTTGTTATTTGGATGTTGCACTTTAAATTTTATTATAAATGGAGTATGTTGTTTTGTTCATATACACGATTGTAAATTATTTTTTTGTTGTTGTTTATAGGTATGGATTTGAGGGACAAACCTAATGCAATACGTAAGAGGGATAGAGATAGTTTGTTTTACGACTCAGTGGCTTGTGCGATGGGTTATATCACTCTCTATTATGCTAAGTACATACACAAAGAGCCATGTTTTACTTCATTTATGACAGGTGAAAAATGGATGCATGAAATATTGAATGGATATGAAAAACGTTGTTTTCACATGTTTCGAATGTCCATGAGCACATTTAGAGCAATGGTCATAGACGTAGAAAGTAAGTATGGGTTGCACCCTTCAGAAAGAACATCAACTTTAGAGAAAATAGGAATATTTATATTTATTCTAAGTATAGGAGCCTCAAACCGTGAAGCCCAAGAGAGATTTCAGCATTCTGGTGAAACTATAAGTAGAATTTTTAAAGAAGTTCTGGATTCCATGGATGGCTTGTCAAGGGATATAATAAGACCTAGGGATTCTGAGTTCAAAGAAGTCCCATTGCAAATTGCCAATGATACTCGATATATGCCACATTTTAAGGTATTTTACTTATTACATGTTATCTTTGTGTTTACATTAGAAATAAATAATAGTCATCTAGAAAATGATATATTTTTTTTATTAGAACTGCATTGGAGCTATTGATGGTACACATATAGATGTTATTATACCTGAGGAGGATCAATTGCGATATAGAGGGAGGAAAGGGACCACTACTCTCAATGTCATGGCAGCATGTGACTTTGATTTACTTTTTACGTACGTTCTTACTGGTTGTCCTTTCTCCAAAATTACGTAGATGAGACGTCGACGTGCTCTCAACATCATCCACTCCCCCGTAATAAAGAGTAAATCTTCAAACTGTGTAACCAGTGTAATTGCCTCCAACGATAAATCCAAATACACAATGGACATAGAAGGAAAGAAATAAATCCACTGAAGAGCACTATCGTTATTGAGTCTTCCGGCATTCCACGAACCATCGGGTTGACGAACATTAAAGTAATCTGTTGAATTGTCCAACCTTCTCCAAACCGACAATTTTCATTAATCATATGTACCAATTGTTCATATGATATCCTCCCCGTAATAATAAATGAACCATCCGGACGATCTATAAATGAAACAAAATCTCTTAACTGTTCCTTTGCACATCGCCAATATAAATTAACAAAACATGGACCGCAATACGCCATTTATGCCTGTTGCAAAAAAAACTTTCAATTCTTCCCAATTACAACAACACATAATGTCTAATCCAATACCCAAAAAAATCAATTATTTTTAAACCCATTTTTTTACTCCAACGAAAATACCAAAAAAAATATTCCCAATCGATTAATCCTCCAAAACCCTAATACCCATAATCCAACAATAACATACAATACATCTATATTTCGAATAAATTAAAAGCCCTAATTCTAACCCTAATTTCGAAAAACCCTAAGCCCAACAACAACAACCAATACACAATTGACAATTTACAACAAAATTCCAATCTCCAATTCAACATACACACATAATCGATAAACATATTGACAATTCTCAATCTTAAAACACCACCACATTCAAACATACTATTACAATTCCCAATCTCCAAACAACTCCAAACAATGTCAAAAGTTGAGATAAGCCAAAATACCTCGTGCAAATGAATTAACCGGAAATGAGGTACGTGTTGTTGTTGTCGGTTCGCGTCGGGGTGGCGATTGGATCGAGTTTTTTTTTTCCTGAAGGTTTTTCTATCGCTCTCGCTCTCTCTGCTATTCTATTCGTTCGCGCAAATGAAATGGAGAAGAAGAAGAGGTTTTTTTATATTTAATTGTAAAATGTGTTACAAAAATACGTTTTACACCTATTTAATTGTAAAACGTATTCATAAAATATGTTTTTTTCTTTATTTTTTTTAATAAATTGCATTTAAAGACGTATTATCGTTCTACGTTTTTTAATATTTTTCTTTATTAAAACGGATGATGCGTTTTATTGAAAACGCACTTTTGAACGTTTTTAGTTAATTAAAAAACGTATTCCTAATATACGGCTTAAAAGATTTTCTTTTTTCTTTTTTAAAATTAAATTTTATAAAATAAAAACGTATTTCAAAAATCTGTTTTTTAAAACCCTAAAAATCAATTTTAGGGTTTTAAAAAACGTATTTGTGAAATACAATTTATAATTATTAATTTTTATTCAATTCGACTCTTTTTAAAAGGAAATAAATATTTTTAAAATTTTACAAAATTAATTAGAAAACGTATTACGGAAATACGTTTTACTAATAAAATGTTATTAGAAAAACATATTCATAGAATACGTCCTTTTTATTTTGGTCCACTCCTTTTTTTTTTGTCCACTTGATTTTTATTTTTTATAAATAAATAAACTACCCCTCTATGTAGTCTATAATTAAGTGTCAAATTACCAAAAGTATTCAATAAATTTATTCCAATTACAAGAATAACAATGAACTAACCATAAATAGTTAATTAATAAATTATTGTTATTCTTATTACCTTTTTAAAATTAAAATGCACAAAACAATCAAAAGAATATTCAATGTATATAACTCGAAATAACCTCAGGTGTAAAGATTATAGTGGTACAAACTACAAATCAAATAAAAAAAATAAAAAAAAAAAATACTCGGCCCACAAAACAAAAGGATTCACGAACTCTTACGTAAAATTTTGCCTCGAGGGAGAATTACAGGATGGTCCTGACCGTACATGCACACCCAATATCCATTCGCAACTGCGGCTTCAAACATTGTCAACAAAAATTTTTCTACATATTATACTGAAAAAGAATGAAGGCGGACAACAGAAGTATACATTATGAGCAGTTTGTGCAACGTCCACTACGTAACAAAACTCCGCCCACTCAGCAGTATGGAAAACAAATGCAGCTGCATAGTAAACAATGGTATATCACACGACTCGTTTAACGCAGATCCTCTTTGTAGTGCACATTTTCAATTTCCAGTGCCTCAGAAATGGGGTATATATCAAGGACCAAAATTTTCCGAACGGATAGCCATCAATTAGCTATTATGCCCCACGAATGCCATTTTGAACCAGTCTTCAAGAAAAGGTGAAAATTGTGTTATCTTCAACTTTCACTTTATGAAGGGGATTAACCCATCACCTTCCCATCCCAGCTTGAGCATTTGGTCAACGACTTTTAAGCTCAACTGCAAGAAATGGTAAGTCAAATTATTTTTCCTTCAGATAAGAGAACTGTTACATATGCAAAGTGATTGCAGACTTAGAGGCATATATATAGTTTATAATAATATGAGCAGTAAGCTAGTGGCATACAAATACGAATGCGACTTACGGAAGGATCTGTGAATACTATCAATTGCTTATTCGCTGTTGACACCAGAAGATTTGTTTTATCCTTATTCAAAGCCATAGTGGAGATATCTTGTCCTTCTGCAAGTTGTATCTTATGGAAGACCTGTGACAACAAGATTGCCAAGTGTCGGACTACAGAACCAAAATGAGAGAAGAAAATTGAAATGTTGGGAACAGATGTACTTTTTTTTTTTAAAAAAAGGGAACAGATGTACTTATGTCCTAATAATTGCAAGTCGTCTGATGTAGGTCTTCAATTAAAATATTAAAACTAACTGTCAACATTACAGATACTTCCCAGTAGGCTTGTAAACAAATCGAATTTTTTTGGATAGGAAAGATATAAACAATTTTTTTGTAATTATAATATTTTTCTAAAAACAAATTTCGAATCGAATCGAATATGTTCGAATATTCTAAACGAATCGAATACGAATCAAAAAATGAGTTCGTTTACGAATCGAATACGAATTCGAATCCTCGAATATTTTAACGAATCCGAAGTAATATTCGCTTTGATTCGATTCGTTTACAACCCTACTTCCCAGATATACGTCTTTTTTTTTCTTTTTTTAAAGTTGTGCCTGGGGAACGGGGTTATTTGTTATTCCTTCTGAATTAGCATAAACCTCTGAGGGTAATTTTCATACTTTCTTAAAAATAGCGTAAAACAAACCCAGTACCTCAAGAGTATATAGATCAAAGAAGCAAATGCAAGGTAAGATCAAATCCAATCTGCTTCCATCATTATCATCATTTGCAGCCTCCGAGACTCCATCATTGTCCACAGATGGGTTTAACCCGACCAAAGCACTGCAACCATCTAGAGAAACCTCTATGCAGCCGACACTCGATGATTTCGGAAGCCATTGCCTAGCAACCAGAGTCCCATTAAGAGTAAAGGTACTCAGAGTAGAAAAATACTTATTCCAGGTCACTAAAATTCCATCAGACGACAGACACAAAGAATGAGCCTCCACACCAGCAAGCCTTCTGACGAGCTGCCCTCGTCTTATTGAATGAAGCAACACGTCAGAGGATTCTGAACACGAGGCAACAATTCCGAGGTCTGAGTTCACAGAGCAGCATGTGATTTCCCCAAAATGCCCCCGGAGAACGTGTACAGGGCCTTCTATCCGTTTGCCCCTGTTTTTGTTGGCTGAGCTGGAATTTCCGCCTGGAGATGTGGGTGTAGTTGGATTACTGGAAGGCTCGAGTGAGTTAGTCGAGCGTGGCATAGATGATCGGTTTATTCTCCAGAGAAGAACTGTTGAGTCCCGGGAACCGGTCACCAGATAGTTGCTACCAGGAGATACATAAAGGCACGTGACAGGAGCACAATGTCCTCGTGCTATCTCTAAGGTTTTTGCTCCGTCGGCCGAAATAAGTCTGACACTGTTATCTACATGTCCGCCTGAATGGGAAAGTCAAATTAAATTCCAAAGTAAATTGAAATAGCATTCTTCTATAAGGCTAAGATAAGATTCCGGGACTAGAGGAAGCTAATGTATCAAAAAAGATGGAGAGATAACTATTTACTGAAAAGTAAAGAGGAACTGTCGAACTATGCTATTGAATGCTTTATACAAGGCCAGACCACAAAGATGGATGGTCTAGGCGACATGTTGTGCACTTGAAAGTCTTATGTTCAAAGTTCAAACACATTCCAATGGAAATTCATACAGGAGACAGATTAGAAAGAGAATGTTATTTCACAAATTTCACAATAACTGAAGTTGGAGAAAAGCTTCATAAAAAAAAAATTACTAGCCGAACATTTATCCTCACCAGTGACAATTTCTCCATCACAAGTGATTGAAACTATTCCTGTGCTTCGGATTCCAGAAGCTGGAAATGCCAGCGCCTGTGGGAATTGCCACTCATCTGATCCAGGGGTAGTTGACCCTTTGAACATTCGCATAAAATTCCCACCAGCAGCACCTGTGCCAGGCTTTCCATGCTGAAAAAGGAAAGGCGCCCCTTCGCCATCTGGCGTGTTTGGCTGCCACTTGTGTTGTGCTACATGTGCTGCCGGGACATTTATGTCGACAATTATAAGAGAGTCTGACGATGCATGGATGGCTGCAGCAGGCAGATTGCAGCGCTCGGGATTGGGAACACTATATGCCTTAACCTCTCTGGGATTCCGGAAAATGGTCTACACACAACAAATTCAATTAGACCCATGTTAATTTCTTCTTCTGGCATAATAGCTAAAATGAGAAAATATCAAGCATTAGAATTCAGGAACAGTTGAAATACGAATTATATTACTTTCTTGATTACCCTACATCACTTTCATGTTTTCATATCTATTATCTTGATGAAAGATGAGTGGTGCCAGTACAATGTCATGTATATTTCTATACATGGTTAAGGAGAGAAG